CCCACGGGGACAGCGGGGGACGTGGCCCCCCTCGCCCGCTGGCACCCCGAGAGCCCCTGGGGGTCCAAGGGGGTGGGGGGGGCACATCCTGCACCCCCAGGTTATTGCTGGTCAGGTCCCGTCCTGCTCCGGCGACCAAGCGGAGGGGGAAGAAGCCCAAGAAATGAAATCCCGCTGCGAAGCCCCGGGGGCGAGCTCGTCGTCACCCGGACGGTGACACCGGTGGCACCGAGATGGTGGCATCGCCCCCGGCCCGTGGGTGTGGGGAAAAGGGGGGGCGGATGGTCGGGGGTGGGGGGGCGCAGGCACCCGGTCGAAAGGCAAAGTCTGGATAAGGCGAAAAAAAATCCCAACTAAAGAACAGCGACTGCCCCCAAACCGGGCGCTTTGCCACCCAAAACTGGCGTGCCGGTGGCCCTCGGGTGCCGGTGGCCGGGTGCTGGCCCCTGGGGGGGGGGCTGCAAGGATGAGCTTGGGGACAGGGGACACTGTCATAGGGCTGTGCTCTCCGATTCCTCCTCTTCCTCCTGCCGGGTGGCCGGGCCCGGCCCCGAGAGTCTCTGCGCTGGCTCCGGAGGGTCCCGGCACGAGGTGGCATCTGGGGGGACGTGGAGGGAGGGGACCTCAAAACGGAGCAGACCTGCGGGAGGGCAGAGTCAGGGGGACGCCGCGGTGGCAAGGACACCTCTTGCTGGGGTCAGGACACCTCTTGCCGGGGTTGGTGCCGTGTTAGTGCCACCACCATGGATGTCATCATGGGTCCCTGCTCCGTGCCACGCTACCCCACCTCAGGTGACACCAGCCCCCATGTCCCCACTGTCCCCCACGACGTGCTGCTCTCCTCCCACCGAGCGCAGGTGACACTGCTGTCCCCTCTCCCAAGGGACTCGCAGGGTGAGGGGAAGTGACAGAGGGTGACCCACAGCCCTCGGCAGGCGGTGTCACCACTGTCCCATGAGGAGAGTGGAGCAACCCACCCCCAGGTGTAGGGACACCGGGTGGGGGGACACCAAAAACCCCAGGGACAGGGAGGTCAGGGCAGCAGGAACAGCAGCACAGGCTTGTGGTGCTTCCCGGGGATGATGCCACCTTCCTGGGGACACTGCCACTATGCTGGGGACATCACCACCTTCCTGGTGATGCTGCCACCTTCCCAGTGACAGTTCCACCTGTCCGAGGACATTGTCGCCTTCCTGGGGACTCTGCCACCTTCCCAGGTACATCACCACCTTCTCTGAGATGCTACCACCTTCTTGAGTACACTGCCACCTTTCCAGGGACATTGTCACGTCCTTGGGGACACTGTCACCTTCTTGCGCACATCATTGCCTTCCCAGGGACATTGCCACCTCGAGGACATCACCACCTCCCTGGGGACATCATCACCTTCCCAGGGACATTGCCACCTTCTCGAAGACATCACCACTTCCCAGGGGACATCATCACCTTCCCAGGGACACTGCCACCTTCCTGGAGACATCATCTGAGGATGTCCACCTTGACGGGGACACTGCCACCTTCCTGTGGACATCACCACCTTCCTGAGGATGCTGCCACCCTCCCAGTGACACTTCCCAAGGATGTTGCCACCTCCATGAGTCCGTCACCACCTTCCTGGGGACAGTTCCACTGTGTCAAGGGCATTGTCACCTTCCTGGGGACATCAATGCCTTCTGAGGGATGTTGCCCCCTTCCCAAGTACATCATCACCTTCCAGGGACACTGCCACCTTCCCTGTGATGCTGCCACCTTCCCAGGGACATTGACACCTTCTCAAGGACATCACCACCTCCCAGGGGACATCATCACCTTCCCAGGGACACTGCCACCTTCCTGGGGACATCATCTGAGGATGACCACCTTGACAGGCACACTGCCACCTTCCTGGGGACATTACCACCTTCCTGAGGATGCTGCCACCTTCATGAGTCCATCACCACCTTCCCAGGGACAGTTCCACCTTGTCAAGGACATTGTCACCTTCCTGGGACCATCACCGCCTTCCCAGGGACACTGCCACCTTCCTGGGAACATCACCACTCCCTGGGGACATCATCACCTTCCCAGGGACACTGCCACCTTCCTGGGGACATCACCACTCCCTGGGGACATCATCACCTTCCCAGGGACACTTCCACCTTCCTGGGGACATCACCACCTTCCCAGGGACACTGCCACCTTCCTGGGGACATCACCACTCCCTGGGGACATCACCACCTTCCCAGGGACACTTCCACCTTCCTGGGGACATCACCACCTTCCCAGGGACATCACCACCTTCCCAGGGACACTGCCACCTTCCTGGGGACATCACCACCTTCCCAGGGACCCTGCCACCTTCCTGGGGACATCACCACTCCCTGGGGACACCATCACCTTCCCAGGGACATCTCCACCTTCCTGGGGACATCACCACCTTCCCAGGGACACTGCCACCTTCTTGAGGACATCACCCCTCCCTGGGGACATCACCACCTTCTTGAGGACATCACCATCTTCCTGAAGATGCTGCCACCTCCCCAGTGACACTTCCCAGGGATGTTGCCACCTTTACGAGTCCATCACCACCTTCCCGGGGCCACCACCACCGCACCCTGGGACACAGCCACCTGCCCCCCCCGTCCCGTCCCCCCCCGTTGTGTCCCTGT